CACGGGGGGGGGGGGGGAGCTACAAGGAGAGACCCTGGCCGCGTTGGACGGGAACGGTGAACTGGGCCGGATCATGAGAGTGCCTGTTTATCCTATTGGGTCTATCATAAGGCCCAATGATCCAACAGAAAGGCCCATTGGGTCAGTATTCGAATGGTTGGACCAGCAGCCGGGGAGGTCAGTGGTGTACGTGTGCTTAGGGAGCGGCGGAACGCTGTCGTTTCAGCAGACGACGGAGATGGCGTGGGGCCTCGAGCACTCCGGCCAACGGTTCCTCTGGGTTCTACGTCGGCCCACCGTGAGGACCGGTGACGTGGCTAGTGTCCTGCCCGAGGGCTTCATGGACAGGGTGGGTCGGACTAGGTGTGGGTCCCACAAGCAGAGATCAGTGGGAGGGTTCTTGTCACACTGCGGGTGGAACTCGACGTTGGAGAGCTTGAGAAATGGAGTTCCGATGGTGACGTGGCCGCTGTACGCGGAGCAGAGGATGAACGCGGTGGTGCTGACAGAGGAGATCGGCGTAGGGGTGAGGCCGAGGAGGTTTCCGACGGCGGAGGGAGTGATCGGACGGGAAGAGATAGCGGAGTTGGTGAGGAGGGTCATGGTGGACGGTGGGATGAGGGACAAAGCTCGAGAGATTAAGCTTAGCTCGGAGCGAGCTTGGTCCGATGGTGGATCTTCTCGCCTCGCTCTCTTCCAGTGGGCGAAGCGTTTTTCGTGAAGTCTTTGCTTTCGTTGTCTGTTGGGCCGCTGATATTTTTGGACCAAAAAGCAATCGATGGCGTTGAAATAATCCCGAAAATTACAAATTCGGGAAAAGACTTTGAAAACAATTCCCAGAAATTGAAAATTATACAATACACGAAATGACCACGACCACGTGGCCCCCCTCTAGACCCAGACCCATTCGTGGAGGTTTCCTTTCATTTATTCAAAGACCCTTCTTTTGACCTGACAAAACAAGCACCACGAGCCACCCAAGATAAAATATATGCAGAATAAAACAATTTCCAAAACAGGGGCTACATCCACAGCCAAAACGCCTAATACATAGATACAACTACTTTACTACATACTCTGTCACCAAATCATCCAAGAAACCTAATTCGGAAGAGAATTCACTCTGATAATTTTAAGTGTAGTAGCAGAGATTATAGGGTATAACAAGTTTGAGCCTTTCCATACTTTTCCTAATGCCGAAAATGCTCGAGTTCACCTCTGATCCCTTTCGCATTACACTGTACAATGCAGAGGAATTGCTGTGGTATCGACTCTTGGTGCAATTACTGCTCTTTAGCAACGGCTTTTAGCGCCTCCTAGAGTGAGCTCAAGATCTTCCACACCAACCTCATGAATCTTTTCGCCTTCCCACGGCTTCACCTTCCCATTCTCAAACTCAAACTCCGCCATCCCCCAGTCTACACCCTTCGCATTATTCGCCGTAGAATTCTCCTTCACAAGATTGAATGTAGGCGAAGGAGGAGCTGCGGCCTGAAAATTTATCCACCGGCCTGAATCCTCGATTGAGTCATCAGATTCGTCGCACTCGGGAATTGTAGGTGGAGTTTGGTATCCACGGCGTGTAGGGCTAGAAGGAGCCGAGAGAGCGAAAAACGAATGCCTCAGAGCATGCAAAGATCCGCCATTTGGCAAATGTTCCGAACTAAGTTTCCGCTTGGAACCACGGGAGGTTGGGGAAGACAGAGGCGGTGTAACGGGTGCGCTGTTGGATATCCTGAGAGGGGGAAGATTCGAAGGAATTGATGAGGCGATATTGTGGAGGAACGGGAGAAGGTATGTGGATGGATTAGCGTCGTAACGAGTCGGACTGGGGAAAGAGGACGAGACAGGACTGGCATGGTAAGAAGGGGCAGGGCTTGGAAAAGCCGATGACTGTGGACTTGGTTGAACAGAAGAATGTGCACTGGCTTTGGTCGGAATCCCCGAAATTTCAGCAGGCGGTGGCTTACAACCCTGTGGCAACAGCAGAATTAGCCATGTGGTTCTATAAAATCATATATGATTCAAGGAGGTAGTTACAGAAGTGGTGCAAATTAGTAATCACAGAGAAAGCGCAGAAGGCATAAAGGCAGAATCAAAGTTTTCAATCATCCAGTAAACAGAGTCAACAGGGAATTTTTTTCCCCCAAATTCCCGAAACTATAAACCTAACATTCCGCAGAAATCTCCCAAGACGCACAGGGACCAGCTAAATCAACACAATCAGATCTAAATTCGAGCGAAAAATATCAGATTCGATACCGCGGAGATCCGTAGCAAACAGATTAGGAATTAAACCAATCGAACAGTGAAGAAAACCTCAGAATCGAGAGAAACTTGTACGAATCGAAGCGAAACAATCTGAACCTAGAAAATAGATATGGAAACCATAGATCGAGAACATACACAGAAGAGCTCTGAATCAGCGATTCGTGATCTAAAGAAAGTAGGAGATTAGAGGAAAGGGGAGAAAAAAAAAACCTGGCGATAAGTGGTGCCGTCGTCTTCGACGATCCAACCGGCCTCGGCGCAGAGAGCTTTGAGAACCTCGTTGTTGTCGCAGTGTTTGGGGAGCTTGTAGTTGCCCTGAGCCCTAAGACCGGCGTAAATCTTGGCCGTGATGGCTCTTCTCCTCCTCTCCCTCCTCTTGTTGTTCTCCCTCTCCTTCCACGTCGGAGTCCTTCCCGTCGATGATCCTCCGGCCGCCATATTTCCCGGTGATCTCTGTCTCTCTCTCTCTCTCGGCGTCTATGTCAGTCTGGCGCACGAGGAGGGGGAGAGATCCTTTCTTATATTTATTTATTTTGTTTCTGTGACTGGATGGAAACGGATTGGCTGCACCTTTCCCATCCCACATCGCCACATTTAAATAATAGCTTTCTTTGGTCCATCCTTAACCCTTTACGGAAGACAGAATCATACAGTTGAATCCTGATTTAATTATGTAAACATTATTATATTTGTTCATTATCAACAATCAATTCGAAAACGTTATGGAATTAAACACATGTATATATATATATATAACATAATTATGGCTATACATACGTGTAATTTGGAAGGAGAAGCACAAAAAAAGGATTAAATTTGGAATGGGGCATGACTTACAAGGGGCAGGGCTCCACACGTGCGATACATGCCGGCACGTGGGGTCCACTCAAAAGTCGTCTTCGACGTGTCCAAGTGACCTAACGCACGAGCTGTGGTCTCTCTCTCTCTCTCCCTCAAATTTATATTTTTTCTTATCTTTTAGAAAAAATCAATTACCACACGCTGCACGCATGCATGCACTTACATATATACATACATCGATACGTATATACATGCACTGTCGATGCAAGTTGCATATCAAATTACTCTCCCCTAATATAAAACGGAGGTTGGTCGCTCGGCGCCAGTTGGGTCATGGCGGTCGGACGGAGCACGTGCGGCTCCAGCGAGGCGTGAACAAAGACGGGGAACAGAATTGCAAGCTGGCTTTATTCCATTACAACAATCACAAATCATTTAACTTCGTAACCACTGATTTTATTATTTTTAAATCCGCTAACTGCTTCCACTTTCTCCTTTAATTTGTGTTTTTTGTTTGTTTATTATAATCGCAAAATAGTGAAAATCTAATGTCCTAATCTAATTAGACTCATCACCTTTTTATTCGCTTTGTTGATCAGGGTATGCATACATACAGATATATATATATTTTTCCATATTTCGAATTCGAATACATTTAGATTTAATTATTTTTGTGTTTAATTTTATATAAATTGAATTTACGTAATTTTATATTTTGTATATTAAATTTTGATTATGAAAAAATATTTATTACAAACATAATTATGTTTAATTTAATTCTATTTTATTTATATCTTGTCTAATCCAAATACTGATTCCCACTTTGTGTTATCTTTGTAAAAGCCTTATGCGTGCATAAAATGTTATGTCATTTCGTAATATATATATATATTGCAGGTACAGAAAGTCAATTTAGAATAATAAAATCTAAGAACAAATTGAGATCTAAATCCAACCTGTCAGCTAACTTGGATCAGATCCCACGCGTGGGGATATCACTTTTGTTTCTTTAAATTGTACAATTAATATCCGCCGTCCGATCAGTTAATCGTGTGGTGTGCATACGTTCTTCGTTGTCTCGTGCAATGCATCGGCTGCAAACCACACACGCACATGATTCTCTCTCTCTCTCTCTTTATGTTATTTTATAATTGCCTCCTTCATTCACTGTATTCGCCTGCTTTCGCGTGTTGCGATTAAACAAGTCGTTGTAACAATAAAATTAAAGAAAGAGACAATATTTATATTAAAGTTATCAAATTACATAATTAATCCGAACATCGATTAAAAATAACCGGTTATTAAAGAAATAATATTTTTTTATTGCGATTGTGGTTTTATTGTAATCATATATTTCCCAATTTATGAATTAAGTTAGGTGATTTTCCCTCGATTTTTAACATATTCCACGCAACGTCTTAAGATCTCACGAATAATCTGAATTTCGGTCCAAAATACAAATAAACCAGATGCAAACTCTCGCAAAAATCGAAATGATATTTATGAATCGCAAAATATTTATAGCCTTAAATAACTACAAAAAAAAAACTAGAAAAGTAGAAATGCACGTGACATGGGGTTACCTAGAAAAAAGAAAATGCAAAACTAAGATAGATATGATACAATTATCTAGAGCGGACCGGGTCAAGTTCAGTTGGGCCCATGGGCCCAATAGATAATATGGGTAATGGGCCGGTTCATGTTTTCCTAAATCCAAGCTTACAGTCGTTATGACAAGCCAGTTCCAAAGAAAGTGAGATTTTGTGTCCATGGGATTCTTTTTGTACCCTTCGAAGATTTTAGAAACGTAAAGATAGCTCCTTTCTGGTAGATTCTCACGATATAACCGCTTGGTCTGGAACAGGGTTTAAGCAAGAACGTAATTGAAAGCAATTTTACAGGCAAACAGCAGTGTTGTCAGTGGGAGGAAATACAAATGGGAGCAGTGACAGTGTTGTCCTGCTTGAAGCCGAGCAAGAACTTACGAGATACAGCGAGGGAAAAAGGTTTGGCCGACATACCCTCCCACCATCGCCCTCCTCACACTGGACTCGAACAATTTCGGGTTATCCCTTAAGACCGCTGCTGCGTCGTGGTTCAGAGGATCCTCGTGATTGGGTTCCTGTACGAAAAAGAACAAGACCTGAATATGATATATTCAACTCATGTCATCTGCTGGGCATATTCTTGAGCATTTACCGTGAAAAGATGGTAGAGACCATAGATGACGGTGTTTATGTTCAGAACAGGTTTCCAGTCTTCACGCAATATGTTCAGGCAAACGTTTCCTTCCAGATCGATATTGGGATGGTAGACCTGCAATGAAAAATGGAATCACCAAACAAACAAACAGAGAGAAAGATCCAAGATTTGGGTTTGGAATGATGAGGAAATTTGAAGCAGGAAAGATATTTCGAGCAAATAAACCACCTTGGTCTTGCATTTCACTTTGGGAGCTTCATGTGGGTAGACGGGAGAGACTTGGAACGAGAAAACAAATGTGCCGTTTCTGTTATTTGAAACAAGAGAGAGAGAGTGAGTTCCAAGGAAAGTTAGAGAGGCTATGAAGACAAAGAACAGATGAAAATGTAATTCGTTACTGGTAGTATCCTTCATCGGGCTTAATGGAGACCTCAAAGTGCATCAAATCATCCTTGCCGTTTGGAAAAGATATGGAACAAGACTTTGGCAGGTTCAACTCCGATATATCTGCACATAAAGGAAGAGGCCACATGAACTACACAAGACCTACTTTCAATGCCACAGCTCATGGGCTTATACTGGTAGACAAATAGACTGATTGCTACCAATTGCAATAGGACATGAAGCAAGATTCAAAGTAACCTTTGTGAAGGCGCAGCTCGCCAGCAGATTGTTTCTTGACTGGAGCCCCTCCTCCTCGGTTGGCATTCTGAGCTTGTTCTCTTTGTTTCTCCTTCACTTTAAACAACCCTATCATGACTTCCTACGACTACAATACAAACAGAGGAGACAAATTAAGTAATCATATCTCCATTTCTCCAGTCTATATTGTGATCACTAAAGCCATAATCTTGTAGAAGATGGAACTTCAGATTAAGTTTCCCAAAGCCAATAACACAAAATCCGTACAGAGATTAGGCCTCACCAAGCATCACGGGAACAAAATTTCAAGTTTTTACTCGCACAATTCCCATGATATCTCAAATCATAGCTTCAGCTGTCGATGTGGGAACTTAAGCCCGAAAAGAAGACAGACTTGAAGCACAATAACGAATCATTCGTTGATTAGGGTAACTATCAAGATCCCCCACACAACAGATCGAAACAAACAAAACCCAACACAGAAATCCAAATTCGAAGATCCCCACAGTAATCCACCAAAAACCCAGAAACGAAAAGGAGCAAAGTTGCCTAATTTATCAACAGCGTTTTAAAAAATCACAGCTACGTGAAAAAAAAATAAAGATAATCAATCAGAAGGACGAGACCCGCTAGAAAAGGAAAACGAAATGAAGACACGAGAGAAGAGAGAAACGATCAAACAACTTACGAGTGGATTGTCGAGACAATTACGTGAAAATCGGGACCCTTTCTCCTCGACTCTCTTCTTCTTTCTCACGCGTGTTCTCGTAAGCTGAAAAAATGGAAACACTGACGTTGAAGAATTTAGCTTTTTCTCTACGCTGATTCAGAATCAGGATCTTTATTTGTTGAGGCCCAAATAGGCCTATTTAGATGAAGCCCATAATGATAAAGTTCTAATGGGCCAATTTTAGGCCCATATGTCTTAGACCTATATGCGGTTGACACATAATGATATATATCTAGAGGTGTAAAGGTGGCCCGGCCCGGTCCGGATCGTCCCGATCTAGAAAATTTTCAGTCGACCCCATTTTTTTAGCGAGCCAAAAATAGGTCAACCCAACCCAGATCATCCGAATTCGCGAGACGGCCCGCGAACTAAATATATAATTTTTAAAATATTTAAAATATAATAAAAAATTAAAATTTTAAATAAAATAAACTAAATATGTAATAAAAATCTAATTTGTATATATAAAAATATTTAAAAAAAATTTAAAAGTAATTATTTTTTCTGGCCCGCGAGCCCGTCCGACCCATGACGACCTCGTTCGCCACGAATGTGGCTCCCCCCCGACTGGGTGT